TTTTTGTTGCCTAAGATCACTTTAGCTATTCCAAGTCTACTGTGCCTCCATATGAATTTTAGCATCATTTTTTTAGATCTGAAAGAATGTCTTTGGTATTTTGATTGGTATCGCATTGAATTTGTAAATTTCTTTGGAGGAATGGACCTTTTGATGGTACTGACTCTTCCAACCCATGAACATGAAAGTTATTCCATTTTTTCTGTGTGTGTCTTCTTAATTTCTTTACTTAATTTTTTTATTTTTATTTATTTATTTAAAAGTCAGAGTTACTCAGAGAGAGAAGGAGAGACGGGGGGCGGGGGTGGTCTTCCATCCAATGGATCACTCCCCAGTTGGCCACAAACTGCTGGAGCTGTGACGATCCAACGCCAAAGCCAGTAGCTTCTTCCTGGTCTCCCATGTGGGTGCAGGGGACTCAGAGTTTGGGCCATCTTCTACTGCTTTCCCAGGCCATGGCAGAGAGCTGGACTGGAAGTGGAGCAGTCAGGACTCGAAATGGAGCCCATATGGGATGCTGGCACTGCAGGCGGTGGCTTTACCCACTACGGCACAGTGCCGTCCCCTATTTAAAATTGTTAATCCTTGGGGCCTGTGCTATGGCGCAGTGGGTTAAAGCCCTGGCCTGAAACGCCAGCATCCCATATGAGCTCCGGTTTGAGACCCAGCTGCTCCATTTCCAATCCAGCTCTCTGCTATGGCCTGGGAAAGCCATAGAAGATGGCCAAGTCCTTGGGCCCCTGCACCCATGTGGGAGACCTGGAAGAAGCTTCCAGCTCCTGGCTTCAGATAGCCACAGCTCCCGTCATTGCGACCAATAGGGGAGTGAACCAGTTGATGGGAGACCTCTCTCTCTCTCTCTCTCTCTCTCTCTCCCTCTCCTCTCTCTGTGTAACTCTGACTTTCAAATAAATAAATAAACCTTTAAAAAATAAATAAAATAAAATAAAATTTTTAATTCTCATTGTAAAGGTCTTTGACATCCTTGGTTAAATATATTCCAAGGTATTTGATTTTTTTTTTTGCAGCTATTATGAATAGAATTGATTTCAAAAGTTCTTTCTCAGCAGTGGAATTGTCTGAGTATACAAAGAATGTTGTTTTTGTGTGTTATTTTTATATTCTGCTACTTTTCCAAACTCTTCTATGAGTTTCAATAGTCTCTTAGTAGAGTCTTTTGGGTACCCATATATAGAATCATATCATCTGAAAATAGAGATAATTTGACTTCTTCTTTCCCAATTTGCATACCTTTAATTTATTTTTCTTGCCTGATGGCTTTAGCTTAAACATCCAAGACTATATTGAACAGCAATGGGAAGAGTGGACATCCTTCTCTGGTTCCGAATCTCAATAGGAATGCCTCCAATTCTTCTCCATTCAATAGGATGCTGGTCAGGTGTTTGTCATAAATTGCCTTGACTGTGTTGAGGAATGTTCCTTCTATACCAATTTGCTTAGAATTTTTATCATGAAAGGGTATTGTATTTTGTCAAGTGTTTTCTCTGCATCTATTGAGATAATTGTATGATTTTTGTTCTTCAGTTAGTTAATGTAATGTATCATATTTTTGACTGGCAAATTTTGAGCCATCCCTGTGCACCAGGGATAAATCCCATTTGGTCCAGGTGAATGACCTTCCTGATGTGCCATTGGATTTGATTGGCCAGAATTTTGTTGAGGATTTTTGTGACTCTATTCATCAGGAAAACTGGTCTGTAGTTCTCTTTCTCAACTGCATCTTTTCCAGATTTAAGAATTAAGGTGATGCTGACTTCATAAAAAGAATTTGAGAAGATTCCCTCCCTTTCAATTGTTTTTTAATAACTTAAGAAGAATTGGAGTTAGTTCTTCTTTAAATGTCTGGTAAAATTCAGCAGTGAAGCCATCCAGTCCTGGACTTTTCTTTGTTTGGAGGGTCTTTATTACTGATTCAATTTCTGTCTTGATTATAGGTCTGTTTAGGTTTTCTATGTCTTCATGGGTCAATTTAGGTAGGCTGTATGTGTCCAGGAATCTATCAATTTCTTCTAGGCCTTCCAGTTTGTTGGCATAGAGTTCTTTGTAGTAAATTCTAATTATTCTTTTTATTTCTGTGGTGTCTTTTGTTGTATTTCCTTTTTCATCTCTAATTTTATTGATTTGGGTCTTCTCTCTCCTTTTTCTGATTTTTCGGGCCAATGGTGTGTCAATTCTGTTCATTTTTTTTTTTTTTCAAAAAATTAGCTCTTGGGTTTGCTAATCTTTTGTATTTCTTGATTTCAATTTTTTGATTTATCTCTAATTTTAATTATTTATTTTCTTTTACTGGTTTTGGGTATGGTTTGCTGTTGTGTTACCAGATCCTTGAGGTGCATAGATAGCTCATTTATTTGGTGCCTTCCAGTTTCTTGATGTAGACAACATTGGCTTTAAACTTTCCATTTTTTACTGTTTCTCACAAATTTTCACATGTTCTATTGTCTTCATTTGTTTCCAGAAATTTTTTGATTTCTCATTTTGTTTCTTCTATGACCCACTGCTCATTTAGGAACATATTGTTCCTTCTCCATGTGTTTGCATATGATGTAGAGATTCTTGAGTTGTTGATTTCCAGCTTCATTGCATTGTGGTCTGAAAAGATACATGGTATGATTTGAATTGTTTTGAATTTTCTATTACTCACTTTATGGCCTAGGATGTGATCAATCCTGGAGATAGTTCCATGTACCAGGAAAAAAAAGGTGTACTCTGTTGCAGTATGGTAGAAGATTCTGTAGATATCTACTAGGTCTATTGGTCTACGGTGTCAACTCTGTTGTTTTCTTGCTGATTTTCTGTCTCATTGATTTATCCATTGCTGAAAGTGGGGTATTGAAGTCCATTACTATTATATTTGAGCCAATGTTTCCCTTTAAACCCTTAACATTCCTGTTAAATAGCCAGGTGCCCTGTAATTAGGTGCATATACATTTATTATAGTCACATCTTCCTGTTGAATTGATTTTTTAATCATTATATACTGTCCTTCTTTCTCTTTTAACAGCCCTTATGTTAAAGTCTATTTAATCTGAAATTAGGATGGCCACACCAGCTCTTTTTTGGTTTCTGTTAGCATGGATTATCTTTTTCCATCCTTTCACTTTCAGTCTGTGTACATCTTTGTTGGTAAGTTATGTTTCTTGTAGGCAGCAAATAGATAGGTTTTCTTTTTTAATCCATTCAGCCAGTCTTTGTCTTTTAACTAAGGAGTTGAGACCATTTATATTCAGGGTAACTATTGTTAAGTACAAACTTTTCCCTGCCATATTTCTGTTAGTAGTCCTAATTTTTTACTTTGGGTTTCCTTTGTACTTTTATTGGGTCATTTTCTGCATTCATCTTCTTTTGTAATGATGTTCCGGTTTCTGTGTTTCTGTGTATAGGACATCCTTGAGCATCTTTTGTAACAGTAGGTGAGTAGTTATGAATTCTTTCAATTTCTGTTTGTTTTGGAAGGTCCTTATTTCTCCTTCATTCATAAATGAGAGTTTTGCATGATACAGAATTCTGGGTTGACAGTTTTCTTCTCTTAGGATTTGGAGTATGTCTCGCCATACTCTCCTTGCCTGTAGGATTTGTGATGAGAACTCTACAGTTAGTCTAATTGAGGTTCCTCTGAATGTGATTTGGTGTTTCTCTCATGCACAGTTTTAAGTTCTTTTCTTTATGTGTGACTGAGGAAAGCTTTGCTACAGTGTGTCAAGGTGAAGATCTTTTCTGGTCCTGTCTATTGGGAATTCTGTGTACGTTCTGTACTTGGTTGTCTCTTTCTCTTTCCAGATTGGGGAAGTTCTCTGTTATTGTTTCATTAATAAGGCCTTCTAATCCTTTCTCCCTTTCTATGCCTTCCAGAATTCCTAGGATCCATATCTTGGGTTATTTGAAGAATCTTGTGGATTCTCAACTGTGCTTTTTTAATTTTTCAATTTCTTCTTCTTATGTTTGGTCTGACTGTAATTTGTCTTCTAGTTCTGATATTCTTTCTTCTGTTTTACTTATTCTACTGTTAATGCTTTCCAATGTATTTTCATTTAATCTATTGAATTTTTCATTTCTATTATTTCATTCTGACTTCTCTTTAATATCTCCATTTCTTGGGAACACTTTTCATTTAAGATCATGAATTTGTTGCTGATTGCTTCTAAGTAATTTGGCAATTAATTTTCTGAATTCTATGTCTGGCATATCCTCAATCTCTTCTTCTTCAGCTCTATTATTGAAAAGTTGTAGTGTTCTTTTGGGGGTCGCATATTGTCTTCCTTATTCTTTTTTTCTTCTTTATGTTCTTTTATTATCATGATACTATTTGCATCAAGATACATAGAAATGATAGTAGGTTTCTCTTAAAGCTTAGTACTAAATATTAAATATCTTTCCCCATTTTACACTTCCATTACTCTGCCAAGAAAAAAATTAAAGCTCAAGTTATCTGAAGCCTAGACACACCTCTATGATTAGCTTGGTTAGGTACAAGTTGGTATCTTTATTCTTCCTGCTATATAAGCAAATCGGGGCCCTAGAAGGATAGGGCCAGGCTCTACTTGTTTTTGAAAAATGTGCTACAAAAATGATGGCCTGTCATAATCCAGGTTACAAAAAAGGATGGGATAAGGGAGGGACATTTTCTTCCAAAAAAATTCTTTAGAGTCCCAGTCCATAACTTTTTCCCCAAAATGGTTATAGGAGGGGGTAAAATCTCAACATGAGCTTCAAAATTCTGCTTCTGTGAAAGTCCAGCAACTGCCATGCTGAGGAGGAGGACAGCAAGGTCGACCCATTGCCACCCTCCCCAGCTAGCAGAAAGGAAATGCAAGTGTATTGCCCAGTGGGGTTACAGTGGACTGCGGCTCAGCTGATACTGAATTCTCTAAGAGGTTTCTTCTATAAACAGACAACTCACACTCTTCCTCTCACTTCAGCAGAGAAGTTATTTTAAAAGCACTTTGGAAGTTCCTCCTTTACCCCTCAGGTGGGAAGGCTCAGAGAAGGGAGTCATCTGTACAGTCACCTTCTAGGAAGTAACAGAATTCCTGAAGCTTAGAGACCCTGTAGAAGTGAACAAAGGCTGCTGCCACCACCAGGAAGTGGAAAATCTGAAGAGACTGGAACCAAATGTCAAATTTTCCAGGAAAGAAGTACTCAGGAATTTGCACAGCATAAAGGCCAGCTCTGGTGATGTACATCACAACCATGAGGAAGAAACAGCCTATCTGGCCCACCGTGGTGGCCTTGATAGAGCCTTCAGTGATAATAAAGTGCATGGTGGGCATGATACCACTCAAACCAAGTCCCAGGAACACAGCTTCTCTTGTCTGCCATTGCTTAGGGGTGGCAAAAAGGTCCCACAATGCCACGATGATGGTGGAAATACCCAGGACACAGATGATGGAAATGTAGATAAGCTGTGGCTGTGGGGAGCAGTAGAAGGAGTAATAGAGCCAGGTAACAAAGCTCCCCATAATCAGTGGAGCAATCCCTAAATGGTCCAGTTTGGAAAAAGTCCAAGAGACATTCTCTGAATGACAATTGATGGTGTGGAACAGCCAGGAGAAACTGAGGCAGAGCACGGCACCCAAAAAGAACATCCAGAACACACCTTCTCCTGAAGGGAGGCCATGAAGTGCATATGTCTGTGCATTGCAAGTGGAATACATGAAGTACATATTTGGTCTGAGCATGGTCAAGATTCTCAAAAAGATAAACAGCACAAAACCAAGCAGATGAGTCCAGATATTGGCAGTTTCTCTATGGATGCAAATGATGCTCTTGAAGTAGGCCTGGAAGAAGGGTAAGGGTGGTCTGTGGCTATGAAGCAAGTAGTCATTGTCCTTCAGCCAGTCATGCAGCACAACATACAGGATGACCCCTAAACGTCCCTCCCAGACCTTGTATATGAGCTCCTCCATCTTCTCCATGGCATTGTGCCCCTGCAAGGGCAGTGTCCACACCCAAACCTCCTCTTCTTCCTGGGTCACTGGGCATGTTTGCTCTTCTTCAGCTTTGTATTGGCTGATGATTGCTCATTTGCCCTTTTCTTCTAACAGAGGTCCCATTTCAGTCAGCTCTATTGAGTCTGCTTTCCTGTTACTGGCAGGTGCCTCATTGCCCTGTGCCACCACAGATCCTTTGTGGAAAGACATCAGGCCAGTACCACAGTAACATGCAGCATCAGCTTGCAGGAAGGTCAGGGTCTCTCAGGCTCAGGAGGCTATCTATTTTGTGACTCGTAACATCCTGTTGCTATACTGCCATCTTGGCCAGACCTTCTCTATTCTTTTACAACTTTTAGAAGTTGACTTTTGTTATTTGAAGACTTTTTCCTAAAGATAGGCATTTAGGCATCAAGTTGGGAAATTGCCTTGGCTTTAGTTCCACTCGGAATCTTTGGTATAGTCTCTGTATATTTTTTGTTATAATTAATGATAGCAGCAGTAAGTATCTGGGGCATTCCTTTGGCTCCATATGGCTGCTAGGATCCCAATCACATGCATCCTCAGCCATCTTCTGAGGGAGGAGCTGGAATCACAACCTTCCCAGATGTTGGCACAAGTCCTGCTGATGCTGTACATAAGCCTTTCACAGAGATTCCCAGTCACCACCCTGATGATGAGCTGGAAATGCAAGACCAGCACTACCCCAGGAGTGCAACAGTCTCATGGACTCCAGACAATGCCCAACTTCTGATTCCCAAAAGTAGCACTAATGCTGGGTGGAGGAGGTGGGTCCCACAAATGCTATAAGAGAATGGATGTATCCATGATGATGACTTTGGCTCTGGTTCAGCAAAAAAAGTCATATGCCAGTCTCTGCAGGGCTTCATGCTGAGCTTCATTGGGTGCAGAAACCTCAGGCCATAGCCATAAGCAAGCTGCAACGTATTAATGCTGGGACACAGGAATTTGTCAGCTTCCATGGGAGGCTTTGACTCTCTGAAACCCACACTGGACACGGGCAGAGCACAGAAACTCTAAGCCACACACCCTAGCAAGTGAATGGAGTGCTGGGTTGGGTATGGCATGGTAAGGCCAGGCCAAAGACTTGTTTGAACACACTGTCTACTGCACTATTCAGGACGCAGAAATCCCAGGCCAAAGCCCCAAATGAGTGTATGTGTGCTGTGCTAGCTGTAGCATGGAAAGCTCAGATCAAAGGTCCAAGGGAGTCCACGCATTGCCTGCTGTGTTAGGTGGACTATGGAATGCAGGTTGGTGCCAGAAAGCCCAGGCAAGTGTTCCAGGTTGGTGGAAGTATCCAAACTAATACCCAGTGTGACCATGGCACAGAAACTGTGGCCACTATCAGAGGGAAGGGCAGGACCTCTATGTTGTGGAGCTCAGTCTACAGTCTGTTATTGGGAGGTGGTTTTTTCACCATTCAGAGTGGGCACACATTCCCAAGTATGTTCACTCTCCATGACATGTACACTATCCAGAGCCCAGAGGATGAGCACACTCCTTACTGTGTGCTCTGACTGTACTACAAGAACCATCATTAAGGGCAGGTGTTGTGGTACAGTGCGGTAAGCTGCTGCTGGTTTGCCCACATCCCGTATTGGGTTGCCAGTTAAAGTCCCAGCTACTCTCCTTCTGATCCAGTCTCCTTTTTATAGAAAGCTTTTATTTAATAAATATAAATTTCATAAATACAACTTTGGGATTATAGCAGTTCTTCCCCCAATACCTGCCCTCCCACCCCCAAATTGTCTCATGTCTACAGCCTCTCGCATCCAATTCTGCATTGTTCATTATCATTATATACAGAAGATAAACTCTATACTAAGTAAAGATTTCAAAGGTTGCACCCATATAGATACCCAAAGTTTAAAGTACTGTTCGAAGACTAGTTTTACCATTAATTCTCATAGTGCATCACATTAAGGAGAGGTCCCACATGAGGAACAAGTGCACAGTGACTTCTGTGGTTTATTTGACAATTGACACTCGTATTTATGATGTTAGCGATCACCTGAGTTTCTTGTCATGAGTTGCCAAGGATATGGAAGCTTCTTGAGTTCACAAACTCCGACATTATTTAGACAGAGCCATAATCAAAATGGAAGTTCTCTCCTCCCTTCAGAGAAAGGTACCTCCTTCTTTGATGGCCCCTTCTTTCCACTGGGATCTCAATCACAGAGATCTTTCATGTAGGTCATTTTTTACCTAAGTGTCTTGGCTTTCCAAGCCTGAAACACTCTCAGGGGCTTTTTAGCCAGATCAGAATGCCTTAAGGGCTGATTCTGAGGCCAGGGTGCTGTTTAGGGTATTTGTCCTTCTATGACTCTGCTGTGTGGCCTCCTTCCCGCGTTGGAGCATATGTTGTGCTGTTATCTTCATTTGTTTCCAGACAGTTTTTGATTTTTCTTTTGGTTTCTTCCATGACCTGTTGTTCATTCAGGAGCATGTTGTTAAGTATCCATGTGTTTTCATATGCTCTGGAGATTCCTGAGTTGCTGATTTCCAGCTTCATTCCATTGTGGTCTGAGAAGATGCATGGTGTAATTTCAATTCTTTTGAATTTGCTGAGACTTGCTATATGGCCTATTATGTAGTCAATCCTAGAAAAATTTTCATGCATTAGATGTCCTAAACAGCACTCTGGCCTCAGAATCAGCCCTTAAGGCATGCGGTTCTGGCTGAAAAGCCCATGAGAGTATTTCAGACATGGAAAGCCTAGACACTCTGGGGGAAAAAAAAAACTAAATGAAAGATCTCCATGAGTGAGATCCAAGTGGAAAGAACGGGTCATCAAAGAAGGAGGTACCTTTCTCTGAAGGGAGGAGAGAACCTCCACTTTGACCATGGCCTTGTCTAAATATGATCAGATTCGGTGAACTCAGGGGGCTTCCATAGCCTTGGCAGCTCATGACAAGAGCCTAGGGTGATTACTGATGCTATAAACAAGAGTGTCAATTTGTTAAGTCAACAACAGGAGTCACTGTGCACTTACTCCTCATGTAGGATCTTTGTCCTTAGTGTGCTGTACATTGAGATTTAATGCTATAACTAGTACTCAAACAGTATTTTTCACTTTATGTTTCTGTGTGGGAGCAAACTGTTGAAATCTTTACTTAATGTATGCTAAACTGATCTTCTGTATATAAAGAGAATCGAAAATGAATCTTGATGTGAATGGCAGGGGAGAGGGAGTGGGAAAGGGGAGGGTTGTGGGTGGGAGGGACGTTATGGGGGGGAAGCCATTGTAATCCATAAGCCATACTTTGGAAATTTATATTCATTAAATAAAAGTTAAAAAAAAAAGTTCCATGCATTGCTGAGAAGAATGTGTACTCTGCAAATGTAGGATGAAAAGTTCTGTAGATATCTGTTAGGAGGTCTATTTGGTCTATACTGTCAATTAAATCTGTTTCCTTGCTGATTTTCTGACTGGCTGATCTGTCCATTGCTGAAGGTGGAGTGTTAAAGTTCACCAATACTATTGTAGTTGAGTCTCAGTCTCCCTTTAAATCGTAACATTTCTTTCAAATAGCCAGGTGCCCTGTAATTGGGTTCATATACATTTATAATAGTTACATCTTTCTGTTGAATTGATCCCTTAATTATTATATAGTTCCCTTCTTTGTCTCTTTTTTTTAACTTTTATTTCATGAATATAAATTTCCAAAGTACGGCTTATGGATTACAATGGCTTCCCACACCCCATAACTTCCCTCCTACCCGCAACCCTCCCCTTTCCCACTCCCTCTCCCCTTCCATTCACATGAGGATTCATTTTCAATTCTCTTTATATACAGAAGATCAGTTTAGCATACATTAAGTAAAGATTACAACAGTTTGCTCCAACACAGAAACATAAAGTGAAAAATAATAGATGATTTTTTAAATGATGATGAAATCAGATAAGACCTATTGTCATGTTTAATCCCAGTGAGAGTCAAGTTGGGAATTGATAATTTCTTCTTCTTTTTTTTTTTTACAGAAGATCAGTTCAGTATACATTAAGTAAAGATTTCAAGTTTGCACCCCCATAGAAACACAAAGTGAAATATACTGTTTAAGTACTCCTTATAGCATTAAGACTCAATGTACAGCACATTAAGGACAGAGATCCTACATGAGGAGTAAGTGCACAGTGACTCCTGTTGTTGACTTTACAAATTGACACTCCTGTTTATGGCCTCAGTAATCTTCCCATGCTCCAGTAATGAGTTTCCAAGGCTATGGAAGCCCCTTGAGTTCTCCGACTCTTATCTTGTTTAGACAAGGTCATAGTCAAAGTGGAGGTTCTCTCCTCCCTTCAGAGAAAGGTACCTCCTTCTTTGAAGACCTGTTCTTTCCACTGGGATCTCACTCACAGAGATCTTTCATTTAGGTTTTTTTTTTATTTTGCAAGAGTGTCTTGGCTTTCCATGCCTGAAATACTCTCATGGGCTTTTCAGCCAGATCGGAATGCCTTTAGGACTGATTCTGAGGCCAGAGTGCTGTTTAGGACATTCGCCATTCTATGAGTCTGCTGAGTATCTCGCTTCCCATGTTGGATCACTCTCCCCTTTATTTATTCTATCTGTTAGTATTAGCAGGTACTAGACTTGTTTATGTGCTCTCTTTGACTCTTAGTCCTTTCATTATGATCAACTGTGAACTGAAATTGATCACTTGGAATAGTGAGATGGCATTGGTACATGCCACCTTGATGGGATTAAATTGGAGTCCCTGGTATGTTTCTAACTCTACCATTTGGGGCAAGTCAGCTTGAGCATGTCCCAAATTGTACATCTCTTCCCTCTCTTATTCCCACTCTTATGTTTAACAGGGATCACATTTCAGTTAAATTTCAACACTTAAGAATAACTGTGTATTAATTACAGAATTAAACCAGTCATATAAAGTAGAGCAGACAAAAAAAACTACTAAGAGGGATAATGTATTAAGTTGTTCATTAACAGTCAGGGCTATGCTGATCAAGTCACCGTTTCTCATAGTGTCCATTTCACTTCAGCAGGTTTCCTTTTTGGAGTTCAGTCAGTTGTCACCGATCAGGGAGAACATATGGTATTTGTCCCTTTGGGACTGGCCTAATTCACTCAGCATGATGTGTTCCAGATTCCTCCATTTTGTTGCAAATGACTGGATTTCGTTGTTTCTTACTGCAGTATAGTATTCTAAAGAGTACATATCCCATA